CTTAAGTTGTCCACAGGTCCCACCCCACGTCCTTGTGTCCCCTCCTGGTGTCCCCAAGCCCAACTAGATGATGGCCCACTTGACCTCTTGAGTTGTCCACCAGGATTTAGAGCCACGTGTCCCCTCCACGTCCTCTCCCACTGGCCCCACATCTCCTCTGGGGTCCCCAGGTCCCACCCCACGTCTCTGTGTCCCCTCTGGGGTCCCCAGGTCCCACCCCACGTCTCTGTGTCCTCTCCTGGTGTCCCCAAGCCCAACTAGATGATGGCCCACTTGACCTCTTGAGTTGTCCACCAGGATTTAGAGCCACGTGTCCCCTCCACGTCCTCTCCCACTGGCCCCACATCCCCTTTGGGGTCCCCAGGTCCCACCCCACGTCTCTGTGTCCCCTCTGGGGTCCCCAGGTCCCACCCCACGTCTCTGTGTCCTCTCCTGGTGTCCCCAAGCCCAACTAGATGATGGCCCACTTGACCTCTTGAGTTGTCCACCAGGATTTAGAGCCACGTGTCCCCTCCACGTCCCCTCCCACTGGCCCCACATCCCCTTTGGGGTCCCCAGGTCCCACCCCACATCCCCACGTCCCCTACTGGTGTCCCCAAGCGCAACTAGATGGTGGCCCACTTGACCTCTTGAGTTGTCCACCAGGATTTAGAGCCACGTGTCCCCTCCACGTCCCCTCCCAGTGGCCCCACATCCCCTCTGGGGTCCCCAGGTCCCACCCCACGTCCCCGCGTCACCCCCCAAGATGTCCCCCAGTGTCCCCACCTGGGTGATGGTGAGGGTGGTCCTGTTGACCTGCTGGGCCTGCAGGGCCGCCTGGGCCCGGGCCTTGACCACGTGGGTGCAGAGAAGGGCGCCCAGGAACCCAAAGTCGCTCTTGTAGGAGTCCTGGTTGTCCGGGGGGGGGCGCATCTTGGCCAGCACCGGGGCACAGTGTTTCTGGGGGGAGAGAGGGCCACCGGGGCCACCAAAAGTGACACCGGGGCCACCAAAAGTGACACCAGGTCATCAAAGGTAACAACAAGGCCAACACAGCAACATTGGGGCCATCAAAGTGACAACGGGGCCACCAAAGGTGACATCGGGGTGAGAATGAGGCCACCAAGGGTGACAATGGGGCCACCAAAGTGACAAAGAGGCCACCAAAGGTGACAACAAGGCCACCAAAGTGACATCGAGGCCACCAAGGGTGACAACAAGGCCACAATGGGGCCACCCCTTGCCTCCTCCCTCCCCCCCATGGTGGCCCCAGGAGGAAGTGCCCCCCATTGTCCCCTCCCCCGTGTCCCCGATGTCCCCGATGTCCCCGAGGTCCCACCAGGAGCAGGGTCTGGACGTGGTCGGCCCCGATTTTGTCGATGTTGGAGACGACGGGACCTTCCAGAATGTTCCGGATCCGCTCCCCCTCCCCCGGCAGCCGGGGCAGGATCAGGGTCTTGATCACCTGGGGACAATTTGGGGACAATTTGGGGACATTTGGGAACATTAAAGTGACATTTGGAGGGGAAAAGGGGGGAAAATGGGCAAAAAAGGGGGAAAAA